GTCCATGTCCATGAGTCATTCATACATGTTCTTTGTTTAGCCCCCGTTCCCTCTGGTCACTTTCAGTCTGCTCCATGTTTCCTTACTTGTAGTTTATTTTGTTTGTTAGTTTATTTTGTTGAATATATTTCACGTATAGGTGAGATTATATGTTTTTTTCTTTCACCGACTGGCTTATTTCGCTTAGCATAATATTCTCCAGTTCCATCCATGCTGTCACAAAAAGTAGGAGTTCCTGAAAGAAAAAGGATTTTGTGAGGGTAGTTGGAGGAGGAATAAGAGTAGGTAATAGAAATGTAGCAAAGAAAAGAAGAAAATAAAATTTACAATGTACATCAAATACGGAGGAGATAGGCTGAACTGGAGTAAGAAAGGGGAAGAGTGCAATATAAGGTTTGGAGAAAAAATATAGTGAATAAATAGGAACTAAACTGAAGACAAACAACCACTCCCATGATTTCTATGACAAAGGAACAAAGATTAATAAAGGTGGAAAGAATTATAATATTATAAGAAAGAAAAAGAAAGATAAGAAAAAAAGATCGTGAGATGTCTAAAAGAAAGAAACTGATTTTCTTAGCCTGGTTAGAAACTACATTAATAAATGGAAAAAATAAAATATAAAATAAAAATAAGATAGGCCAGGAGGAAAGCAATATGCAGTAAGACAGGGAAATGGTAAAATATTTAAAAACATTTTAAATATTTTTAAAATTTAAAATAAAATTTTAAAATAAAATTTAAGGATTTAAAAATAAAAAAAAGTGGTGAATAACTAGGGATAAAATTTAAGAAATGCAAAACAACTCCAATATCAATGACAATCTAGCAAATATTTATAAAAGTGAAATGACAGTAAGGATATTATAAGAAAAGGAAGAATGTGAGATGACTAATGGAAAGAAAGATGGTTTTGAGAGGATAGAGGGAAGAGAAATAGTAAGAGTGCAGACTAAGAAACAAGGTTTAGAAAGGGAAAAAAATTTTAAACAAAAGTAAGAAAGAGAAGAATGAAGGCAAAATGGAGTAACAGAAAGTAAGAGTAAAATATAAATTGGAATTAAAACTAAATTAAAAAATAATAAAAATAAAAAATATAAATAAAATAAGATACAAATAAAAAATAGTTAAATAATAGGAACAAAATTGAAGACAAAGAAACAATGTTAAAAAGCTATGCAGGAGGGAAAAGAATAGTGCAAATAATGAAAAAGAATGAGGTGGAATTTATCTCACCAGAGTCGTGTTTGTTTGCCTAAGGTCTTCTACTTCAGAATCCATCCTTGATGTCAGCTGGTGTCCAAGTCTTGTTTTATGTAGCCTGTTCAAGGTTACAAGTGGTCCACAGTGTGTGGCTGTCTGCTTCAGGTTTGGCTGGTCTTTGCTGTTCTGCCCTGCTGGCCTTTTTCAGCACAGGGTCCAGGAGTGGTTCCTCTATTGTGGGACAGCACCACATGTACCACCTCCACCTGCCTCTAGAGGGGGCTTATGCTGCAATCAGGAAGGATCCCTGAATCGCCTCCCACGAGGTGCTGTTCAGATTTCAGGGAAGACTGTGGCTGTGTTCCCCACCCCGTGCCATACGTTTTGGTCTGTCTCAGATTTTTTCCAATAATGTATAGTTTCTGATGTATTAGCTATCTATTTCACGTGAGGGGTTAATCAGTATAAAAAAATCACCTCTTTCCTGCTTGGCACTGATGGCAGGTCTGTGTGAGAGCAGAGGCTGGGTGGGGCCCTGAATACCTCTTGTTGTGCCAATTTCTAGTCTCTCTGCTCTGCTGTTTTCAGTGGAATAGGGCCTGAGGAGGAGCCAGCATAGTGTTTGATAAAAGTTAAAGGGTTCCTTTGGAGAGTCCCTTTGTTTCCCTTGTGGATATGCACTGGGTAGGGAGTTCTTTAGCCTGGCCTTACTGTTCTTCAGAGATTACAATCCTGCAGGTGGGGGATGGGCATGCTTTCCACTTCCCAGAAGTTTGCACTCTGTGGTTTGAGTGGCCCTGCCTAGGTGCAAAGAATCTCAGGCACTCTACTCCTGCCTGTGCAGTTCCTCGCTCACTGCTCTCATAGGAGGCTCAAACCCAAATCATCTGTTCTGCATGCAGTGCCCTCCCCTCTGCTTGCCAACCATACTGCAGGGGCAGCCCGCAATCCCTTCACCTTCAGGCCCCACAGCTTTCTACTCTTCCTGGCCGGTGGGGTTTGGTGAGCATGAACTGTTCTTTGAATCTGACCTCTCTGGTGGGGGCAGCTGTGCATGTATATGTGGGGTCCCTGCTCAGCCATGTCTCTGCTCCCCCCTTTAAAAAAGTCCCTATGTGGCACCCAGTCTGTAGCTCTCTGCCACTGCTTAGCTTTCTGCACACTCCGCTTCTCCAAGAGGCAAAAAGTCTTTCTCAGTAAGGGCTGGACACAGCCTGCTGGTGCCTCAGACAGTTTTAGGAGCTAGAACTGTCTTGGACTCTCCCGGTTGGGGTTGCAGCTATGGATGTGCTGCTTGCTGTGTGTGTGCAACCTGAGTATCCCAGACTCCGTACATCATCCCAAGTCTCTCCCAATTAGGGGTGGAGGCACCATGTGTAGGACCAGGGATCCCCAATCTGGGTGGGCTGGAGTCGCTAAGCTGTGTTTTCTCTCCTCTTTTCTCTCCCTCACTGCAAGCACCACACACAGAGTATTTTCACTCAGACATATAAAATCTCTTACCTGTGCAAAGCCGCCTCTGTATTCCTTGGCTTCAAAAATTCATATTAGCTAAGATTCTGATGAATGTTCAGGTCACTTGTCAGAAGATCAGCTGAAAATCTATGCTGGGGGCATAAGCAAGTGGGCTCAGCTTCCACCTACTTGGCTGCCATCTTCTCTCTTCCATAAAATTTTTTGAAACAATAAATAAAATGGTTACTAGTTAGCAAGCAGAAAAGCATTATTCTGGCATCTTATTCATATTCTCAGTCTTGCTGTTGGATTCTATCACACAGGGCACAAGAGGTCCTTGGTTGGAAATTCCTCAACAAGTGGCTTCTAGAAGTGGAAGGTGAACTGAAGTTAATAGCCCAGGATTAAATATTTATTCTGAGAGGCTATGAAAAATGAAGATTTCTTAGGGAAGAAGGTAATTTTGCTGCAGTGGGAAGGCCCAAATAGGAAACAGGGTGACATATTTTTGTGAGAAGGCACACAATGATAGATTGTGTCCCTAAGGTATAGAAAAATTGATGATGAAGCAAACTGAATGTTACATTAGTATTCAAAGACCATACTGGAATTAGTAAGGAAAATGACTGGAGGCCATTGGATTAGTCCCTTTATTACAGAATTGGTGGTGCTAGATTAGGATACTTTCAGGTAATTCCAAGAGTCACCTTAAAGTTCAAATAAATCTACCTGTTAAAGGATCTTATACAATCTTATTATCCCAGTTTGAATTTCTTGATACAACTGGAATATGTGCATTCAGGTCTCCTTGTTGTGAGATCCCTTGTGAATGTAAATGAGGATTGGTACAGTGGTTAGTGAGGTACTGATGGGCGAAAAGATCTGTCTGTTAATGTTACAAGATGAGAGTAGTAAGATCCTAGTTGGATTTAAGTATTACCAATGTTAGCATAATTCTCCAGGATCAGGCCAAAGTACAATTGCACTTAATGTTCTGATAGGCCATTATGGGGGCATATATGAGTACCGAAAAGCAGGGAACAGAGGACTGGTAATTACCAGGAATCACTTGTCATCACTGGATATTTCTAACATTTTAGGGATTTTTGCCTTTCAAGCATAACACTGCTTTTGTTCAGAAGCATTAGGAATCCATACACAGAGCTGATGTATGCCAAGAGCATGACACATGCAATCCAATCCCCACTTCTTGAGTTTTATCTACAAATGGTATTGATATATATGCCCCAGGATTTTTCAGATGAAATGGTTCAGAAAGTTGCTTGCCATTAATTGTTCTTCAAAATTCTCAATGAGACAAGGGTTCCCAGAGGTGGTTCATAACAGTAGAGCTTAACATCAATGGACAGGGATCCTAGATGGTGACCACACGGAAGTCTCTAGAGTCAAAAACTACTGCAGGGCCTGACCCTCAGTCTTTAGTGGAGGTGCCTGTTTAAAGCAACAAAGACATTCTGCAGACACAGTTCTTATGATGAGATACCTTCCACAACTGTCACTAAATACTTGTCAGAAGTCATTATCCTAGTATAAGGCATGCAGAAACCTAAAGTAGGTTGTTGGCAAAGAGAAAGAAAGGTAAGCTGGAATTGGTAAGGCTTGTACAAAAATATGTACCTGCCTGAAAAGCTTGCCCTCAAATAACTGGACTGACAGTTTCAGACAGTGTTTAAAAGCCATACTGTCTTTTTTGTCAAAAGCCAAGAGATCCAGTATGGTGGACAAGCAGAAGTCTTTAAATGGCAATAGAATACATAAGGGTATGAAATGGTGGCAGAGCTATGTCTCCATGAAAGTTGGTTTGTGTTGAAGCTGGACTCTAGTCAACAAGTGAAACAGGAGCCAGTTTCTAGTGGGAAAGTATTGGTAAAATATGAAAATACAATTAGGACATCAATCAAGAGTCCTAAACCAACAGGAAATAATGATAAAAGTCATGGGCCCAATAATAGGCACCAAAGACCTGGGACAATAAATTCAACCCAAATCTCATTGGTGGGGATGGGGTTCCCAATGCACTGCCAGGGTTGTTTTCATTGGCAAAGACTGGGTAGAGTTTTGCCTGCAGGGTTTAAGTATTCTGGGGTAATTAGTCCTGACTGCAGGGAGTGCCTGCGAATTCATTGTTGGGTTAGGTTTGTTGATGGGTCACCAAATAAACAAGATCTGGTTATTCAGATTTTCAGAAGCACATGAGTTCCTGACTGTGTAAAATAGTATCACAGTTCCTCACCTATATTTTTAATGTCAGAGTAGCATATAAATCAGTAAGCCTGTAGATGATAAACATATAATTCATAAAGTAACCCTCCCGGCTCCTTTTATTGATGAGCTGGGTTATTTATCTTTGCTGGAGCTTGAGATCATTTGACAAAGCAATCTCTTGTGAAGGGACCAACCTGGCTGCAGTAGAGGCACAACTGAGTTTCTTGCTGGTGAGCTTCTTTGGCTGGGGCGAGAGGAGGCTGGCGTCCTTGAAGCTGTATAAGCTCTTCCTTGAATGATAGACATGTGGTGATGGAGAAGGTTTGGTGATGGATCAAGGAAGGCAACACTGGGAGTGGAGCCTCTTACTGCAAGACCTTTGACCTGTCACTATGTTTCTTGTCCAACTGAATACACTGAGTGATCAGATTTGGAAAGTTGTTCATCATATCTGCAACACTCACTTCATTCTGAATGGGGTCAGCTTCTCCCTCTTGGAAGTGATCATTCTGATTGGTTTTATTGCAGCACAGACTTTGAGCAAGAAGCTAGAAAGTAATAGCAATCTGTTGAGAGGAGTTGTCCCCTTTGTCAACCTTAGAATTCACCAGAGGGTTCATTTCCTGGTAGTTTTTGACTCACCAAATGATCACTATAATTCAAGAACAGTTTTCTTATTGCTTCAACAGAGCACTCTGGTCAGACCTAGATATCACCCTACAACTTCCCATCTGCTGAGATAGTTAGTCAAAAACGAAAAAAAACTTCACTTGGGGATCATGTACAAGATTGAGGATCTTGAGAGTTTTGAAATAGTGACCTGAGTAAGAAACACTGAAAGACTGTCAGAGTCACCATGAAACTGGAAGAAATTCTTAAGTGAGCAGGGAAAAGGCATCATTGGGATGGCAAAGGCAGGCATGATTTGTTCTCTGAGTAGTGCTCTCCTTGGTCAGATGATGCACATGTGGCTGCAGAATCTGATTCTCTGCCCCAAGAGAGGAATGTTCTACCTGCAAAGTAGGTAATGATTCTGTGTGCTCCTGCATTATATTTTCTGGAACTAAGTAGAATTGGGTACCAGTCTTGGAGACCAATGGTCAGACAGTAGGTTTGATCTGTGATCAAAGAGACAGTGTCATGAGCAAGTAGCCAAAGCTGTTAGGTATGAAGTTACAAGGGGATAATGCTGAGGGCTGAGTTAGAGAGATGTAAAAAATTATTGTCCACTAGTGAATGCTGCCATTTTTTTTATGGAGAATGCCAATGTACTACACATTCAGAAGAAATAAATTACCTAGGACACATACAGGATTTTGAATTAAGATGATAAATATAAAAGTCACAGTAGATTTCTCTCCCCAATCCCCTGCCTTATAATATAGAGGCAATTTGTACTCAGACCAAGCCTTTGGTTCTAAAGTATTATCATTATTTTTTTTATATTTTATTTATTTATTTATTTAAATTATAAATCATGTTTATTCTATTACAGTTGTCTCAATTTTTATCCCATTACCCCTCTCCACCCATCCCACCCACTCCCCCAACTCCAAGAGTCAATTCCCACTCTGTTGTCCATGTCCATTGGTCATTCATACATGTTCTTTGTCTAGTCCTTTCTCCTTCTTGCCACCATTGTCCTCTTTCTCCATCCCCTCTGGTCACTTTACATCTGGTCCCTGTTTCTGTGTCTGTGGTTTATTTTATTCGTTAGTTTATTTTGTTGAATAGAGTTCACTTATAGGTGAGATCATATCATATTTGTCTTTCATCAACTGGCTTATTTAACTTAGCATAATATTCTCCAGTTCCATCCATGTTGTTGCAAAAGATAAGAGTTTCATCTCTCTCTCTCTCTCTCTCTCTCTCTCTCTCTCTCTCTCTCTCTTAAATGCAGATTGATTTTATTTATTTTTTTTAATTTCAAAGTTAATTATTAAAGTATTATTTTCATCAAAGAGTCAAAGAACTTTTTAATCAATAGTGATCTTAGAGATTATCCATACCACATTTATAATTTCAAAGATGGGAAAATAGAGGCCCAGAGAGGTAAAACTATCTGCCCAAGGTAACCCAACCAGTTAATATTTGAACTAGGATGCTTATCAGGACTGTTATCCAAAACACTTCCTTCAGGAACACAGATATACTCATTTAAATGCAATACTTGGGCATGGGGATGCCCCTTTCTACTGAAAATGTACTATGGGAACCAGTAGAATTGGATTCTCCAGGGAGGTTGGTAGATACGTAGACTCTCAGGTCCCACTCCATATTTAACTGAATCAGTATTCCACTTTGACAAGATTCCCCAGTTGATTCAAATATGCACTAAAGTTTGAGAAGAGCTGCTTTAGAGAGCACTTACCTCAAGTTGTAATAAACACTGGTTGGATTTGACCCTCAGTGCCCTAATTTTAACCTTCATTGCTGTGGGGATCTGATTGCTGTGGTGGTAGGAAATTCACTTTTTTCTGGCTTTCCAGTTCCTCTCTGAGGTCACATTTGGTTTCTATGGAGATGATTAAGACATCACAGGTAAAATGAAGAAGTGAGGTTGAGAACCTAGGAAAAAAGGACAGAATTTCTTAAAAGTATAAAAATTAAAATGTTCTGCAGTCTTCCTGCATTGATACCACAAATAAAGCAACCAATAAACGTTAAAAACAAACCTCATGGAACAGACTGTCAGCTATCAGAGGAGTGGGCAGAGGGTTACTGGATGGAAAAAGAAGAGATTAGCCAAAGAAAGAGCACAACCCACAAAAACAGGTAACAGTGTGTTGATGACCTGATGGAAGAGAGTGGGAAGTCCAGGGTGGAGGTGAGAAAAGAGGAAAAATGAGGACATCAGTAATAGTGTGAACAATAAATATAAAAATAAAGGTAAGACAAGGGGGTGGAGGATTGAATGTGGATGGTTGGGGTGGGTTGTGTAGGGGAAAGTAAAGGGGGGAAAATGGGGACAACTGTTATTGAGCAACAATAAAAAAGTAAAGTTAAAAAATACCAAACCCTAAACATATAGTATATCAGGTGCACTATTCTGCTGTGTAATTCCTCTCATTGCCTTTTCCTTGGGTAAAATAGCATTTAAATGCATTTAAATTGGCCATTGGTGGGCAAAAACTGCATAATTGAATTTAAGGCTTGATTCCGTAGGTTTTATCTGATGGCTCTTCTTCTCTAGACCTAGGAAAGAAAGTATTGGAAGAATCAAATCATTTAAGATTGGGGGACAGAAATTTACCCAAATATTAGCACCAATCAGATGACTTTGAAGAACTCATTTGGGTCTCAACTTCCTATTTTATCTAATGAGATTTACTATCTTTTCCACCTCATAAGTCTGTTGTTTATATGAGATAATAGGTAAGTGTTGTCAATGATCCAAAAAATGAGACATTTGTTTCCAAGATTGTTCAAATGCAGCTGAGCAATGCCAATGATGAGGCTTTACCCTTATCTCATGTTGCCAAATTAATCTTCCTTTCTTTCTTCCTTTCCATGTATCACCCTTCTAAAGTTTCTAATGTACTTTTTAGACATCTTCCATTTTCCAGGTGCCCATCCATTAGTTTATTTCTGCCAATCCAACCAACTGGTAAACCAAGATATAAATTAGATAATGAGCATTAATGATTGGCCTTTCTAAAGGTATTCAGTTTTTCCTCAAACTGTAATGTGTGTAAGAATAAATTTGATTTTGATCCCTAGCAACTCTGATTCAGTAGGTCTGGGGTGAATGCCAGGAATCTTTAACAATCTGCCCAGTAGATTTCTGATGCTGGTGGTCCCTGTGAGAAAAACCATGCAGAAAAGCCTCAAGGAATAAAGCTATATTATTAGCATTGCAGAGAAGTGGAGATGGAGAGGGCACATATTTAAAGATAGCAGGTTGTCCCTCAAATAACATAGGACAGATTGTAGTCTCTTCTATATAGGTTTTAGAGTCAGACTGACTTGTATCTAAATCTTGGCCTGACCAAATGCTGTGTGACTCTGGGTAAACGATTTAATCTCTTTGAGAATCGACTTCCCAACTTTAAAATGATGATGATTTCAATATCTGCTCTATTATGATCTGAGGCTTAAATGAGATGAAAAGAGATTAGCATAGTTTCATGCAGATGGCAAGTGGTCCATAAATGTTAGCTATCATTATTCTAGTGCACAGTCTGTTTTTTAGAATTTATATATATTTTTTGTTTTTGTTTTTTGAAAGGTAACACAGAGTATGTACTATTTCTTACATAACACTCTCAGTGGTGTCTGAGAAAGCATCTCATAATTAAGTCATTAACATTTTTTATGAAAACAGCTGAATATTTATACTAAAAGAAATAAAGACTCAATTCAGCTCAAATTTTGCTGCCAAATGAGTTTCGGCACTGAATTAATGAAAAAAATAGCTTTCATTTTACAGAACATTTTGAATTCAGGATAGAAGATAAGGGATTGTGGACTTCTACCAAAGAGTTTTTTGTTGTTGTTGCAAAGGTGTGATGATAATTTTTCCTCTCTGTCCCTGCCTTCAGCCCTTTCCTTCCACTCTCAGAAGTTTCAGGATCTCTATAGAGGTATCCTGTTTCTTTACAGAATAATGTATTCAAGATGGCAGAGCATTTAATTTTCCTAATCATGTAGCACTGGTTAAACACTCACTAAAATTATCAGTGTTAGCCCAAATGCAAACCGTACAATGGAACCGTTGTCAATGGCAACTGCTTAATCTCTCAAAAAAAATCTTGATCATTGAAAATTACTCTCCTTTTAGAGGTCAATGGCCTTCTATTGGATTATCCCAGAAGATCCTGTGTGAGACTCAGCCTGCTACTCTGGAGGAGTTCCAGACTACAGACTTCGGGAGATAAAGTGGAGAAAGAGCTGGAACCTCAAATGCATAAACTTGGGGGATCAGACTAGTTAGCTTGAAACAGGTCTGACAAAAAATTGCACATTTAAGCATTTACTTAATTAGTATAGGTTTCGACTACAAAAAACAACCTCACAAAAATAGTTTTATTAAACTATTGCAGGAAATTTTGGTGTTTGTGTTCATTTTCACCCTAAGGCAGATTAACAGTTACTCTGATATAAGACCAATTCACCCTGGAGTCCACTAGGATCCCATTTGGAGAAGGGCCTGCAGTACCCTGCTGCTTATAAGAGAGCTTTGTGACCTTGCACTGCTTTATGTTCAAGCTGTTCTGCATAACTCATTGGAGAGGAAGCTTTGACTTAGGTTCATACAATTACCTAGAGCAGTTTCATTCTTACTCTTGAGAGCCAGACCTCCTAAGGAATGCTATGGCCACAGAAGCTAAACTAAGACAACCCTCAGGGCACCATTTGAACTTGACCCTAGCTCTGCTAACATCTAGACTGACAGCCTTGGACAAGTCATTTCTCTCTCTGGGTCAGTATCTGGATCTGTACAATGAAGAGACTGTGTTTCTCAAATTTTACCACAAATAAGAAATTTAGATTAAGGGGTGTAGTAGGAGACTGAATAATCTGAATTTTTATGGGCACCCCAAATGTTTCTGTGGTAAGAGGTCTTTAGATTTTGCATTGGGAATACTGGGTGACTTACTACACAGAGTTCCAACATTTGTCCATTTTCTCAAATTTCAGGGTATATCAGAATCCCTAAGGAGTTTAACATGCAGATTCTTGGGCCTCCCACTAGACAGTGTGATTCAATGTGCTTGAAATTAGACCAAATAATCTGTATTTTAATTAAAATCTGCAGATGATACTGATGCAGTTTCCCTGACAACACTCTAAACACTAGTTTAAGTACAGTTTGCTCCTCAGTATCCATGGGGGATGGGTCCTAGGACCTACTAAGGATACCAATATCCACAGATGTCCAAGTCTCATATAAAAAGGTGTAGTATTTGTGTAGAACCTATATTTACATATAGGCGACAGCAGGGTATGCCTACATGTCACTCCATTTGTCTAACACATGGCAAATCTAGTCTTTCTTTTTAGAAATGCCTAAGATTTAAAAAAAAATATTTTCATACACACTTTATTG